AGAAACCTGAGATGCTTGAGTTCCGGATTTAATGTATCCTCTGCGGGTTTCGAACTCACACACCTTGGTTTCCCACGCCAAGGCACTACTGAGTAGCCGCATTAATCATTCGGCCACCGGGGCTCTGCATGATATGTACTATTAACTACTAGAAGTATTCACAGTAGAAAGATAAAATGTAGAGATTAAATATATAATAGCATTTAAGCTGAGTTATGAATAGTATTCATGAACTTCAGTCTATATAGTTATATGTAGTCAAGAGCTGCTAGCTTTATTAATTATATAAGAGATAGAAATAGAGATAAAGAATCTATAAGAAGTGAGATTTCTTATATATCTCTCTCTCTCTAAGACTTTATCTGTGAAGTCTTTCACTGAGTGACTTCATAGAATTAGCTCAGCACTGTAGTGATACTCACTAAAAACTCTTTATATCTATAAAAAATCTTAGTGAGGAAAAATTCCTTGTTACTATGAAGAGAAAAGAGTCTATTATCTAGTTTCTTATTTCATAAGATTCTTTATAATCTATAGATTCTTCTCTGACTATTATATAGATTTATCTCACATCTTTTATATAGAAGAATTTCAGTTAACTCTCAATTATTTCTATAAGATTCTTATGTAATTATTATATAAATTTATCTCATAGATAAATCACTCTCTGTGAGATCACTCTTATTAAAGAGAAGTATTTATAAGTTAATTTTTTACTTATTTTTATAAATCATTATTCTTTAACACTGTAGAATTGTGAGAAATTTTTCATTCTTTTACTAACTCTGTAGAATTGTAGAATCAAGATATTCACAGTCTATAATCACTTTTTATAGTTATATAGAATGATTCAGATCTGCAATTTATAATCACTTTTATTTACTAGAGTGATCTGACTGTTTCACAGAATCATTTACAGTGTAAGTAAATCTCTCTAGAGTAGTATAAATATCTCAGATTTATCTGTAAAATCTTATTCTTTTTTTTCTTTTTCTGTGACAGCTCTCATTCTTATAAACTATGAGTATCTTCATTTATTTTCAAAGTGTTTTCACTTAGATGACAGAGAGAGAGTGTTTCTGACAATATTTATATATTAATTCAAGAACTTCTGAAGAATAAAAATTTTTCAATTTTAATATTTTTATAAATAATGTCTGACTGCTGCTGAGCTTCTTATGAGTATTCTCATAACTTCTCTGATTACTTTTTACTGACTGATGAAGTAGAGATATTATTACTTATAACAGTGTCTTCACTCTTCTCAGCTCTGTTACTATATCTGATCTTCAGATCAGTAGTCAATCTTATATCTCTTTCAGATCAGTCTCTAACTTTAAGCAGTATAGTCTCTCTCTTTACTGTAAGTCTTCTTATAAGTAATTTCTTATAGACTCTAGCTAATAGTTCTTATAAAGCTCTCAGTGTTATCAGTGTCTTCTACAGTTCTGTGAGTCTATAATTATTCTTCTTCTGCTCACACAATCTCTGATCAGATATATATAAATATATTTAGATTTTCTATCAATGATTCTCATGCTGCAGCGCATTTCTGTAATCTCATTATCAATAAGAGATAAGTTCTCAGATATCTGTAAAATTCAGATAATTAAGATAATATAAATATTATAAATTCATAATAGAAGTTAATCTGAACAGATGAGTCTTCTCTCTACATTTTAATTATTTTCAGACTGAATACTTCAGCATAACTGAGAGGATAGATACAGCTTTGTAAGAAATATCTGATTATATACATAGACAGTCAGCTCTCAAGATTCTGCTATAACTGTGTATACTCTGATATTCAGCTTCTCTGAAGTCTGTGCATTTCTGATAATCTTCATGTTAAATGCAATAATTATCTGTATCACAGATATGATACTCTCTACTTCTTTAAAGAGAGAAATTAATAGTTATGAGAAGATTGAGTATTATAAGTATTAAGAATGTGAATTTGAATTTTCTTTATTTTTTCTTTATTAATCTCTAAATTATGTTTACAGTTCTGTTTTTATTCTCTTATTTTTTAACTTTAATAAGAGTATGATTTCTTCTTTTCTTATATACATCACAGACTGTTCATCTCAGTAGAAACTTATTATCTTATAGACTAGAACTTATAAATGATAGTATTAATATCTTTATTATAATCAGATTCTTAGCAAAGATTATATTATTCTGACTTATCAGAATTTACAGTATAAAAGTTATATCTCAGCTTCTACAGATATTTTATCTACTTAGATAATTCTTAAGTGAACTTATTTATCTTATCAGAATACTCTTATCACTAAATCTTGAATCAGAGCTTATAATCTTACTTCTCTAAGTTAATAATTTCTTTAATCTAATATTCTCTTTCACTCTCTAGTACTTTATAAACAGAGTGATGAGTTACAGAATTCTCTTCTAAGAATTTCTTATATTTATAGAGTAAAGAGATATGAAAAATATTATATATCTATAACTCAGATAACAGTTTCAATCTATAGAACTATAAGCTAACTTTCTTCATAATCTTATAAGACTCTGTTTATAAGAGATTCAGCTTCTTACTAGATCTCTATATAATAATATTTTCTAGACTCAGTCAGACTCTATTATCTTTCTTAAAACTCTTTATAATATATTTAAAGTCATAGTATCTCTTCTGATACTCTTAAGTCTTTCTTAAGAATTTACAGACTTTCTTCTGAATCTTCTGAATTCTCTCAGTCTGTTCACAGATATTATTATACTCTATAGTATACTCTCACAGATTTATCAAGATCATCTGTAGATAAGTCTTAGTAAGTATCTTAAAGAGAGTTTTATCTGTACTAATATATTTTGAGTTATTGTATACAAACTCTGTAAGTGATAATCAATGCACTCAGTTATTCTGATTATAATTGATAAAGCACTGCAGATACTGTTTTAATATACTCATCAGATATTCTATCTAATTATTTATCTGTTAATAAAAAGTCATACTTAAATCTTATAAAATCTTCAGTATAGTTATTAGATTAGATTAGAACTCTTCTATAAAGATTAATTCTCTGTCTGAGATAATATTTATAGATAATTTATATAACTGAATTACATTGCAGATAAAGATATAAGTTAAATTCTTTAACTTTAAGTTCTTATAAATGAGTATAAAGTGTGTTATCTTGATAAAGTGATTCACTATCATCAGCACACTGTCAAAGTAGACATTATATATGTTCTTGCTTTCACAGAGACTTATAAGAGTATTCATTTCTAGCTATTCTCAAGGTTTCTGTGAGATGAGTAGAGAAGTAAGTTCTTCATATAATCTGAACTGCACTATCTGTGAATTCTGATAAATAGTATAAGAATTCACTATCTTCTTCATAAGTTCTTATATCTTCAGTTAGAAGTATTTTCTTATAAGTAACTCATGAGTTCTAGTATCTGTAAAATGATCTGCTAGAGAAGAGTCATGATATTTTTTAATAAGTTCTATATATAGAAACTTATTTACAGATATATAAATTCAGCTCTCTCTTTGTAAGAGATTATTTAAGTCTCTTTAATTCTTTATTTCTGTAGAATTGATCTCTGCTGTAAGCAGTTTCTGAATATACTGAGTATATTCATTCTTCAGTTGCAGTTCAGACAATCTGAATAGAAGATCTTATAAAGACTTATACTCTATTTCTTCTTATATCAGGTCTTCTGCAGTACTTCTTAAAATCTGTAAATTCTTCAGATTATAGATACTCTCTTCAAGAATTCTCATAGAGATTCTCAGAGTGTTGACTCTCAGTGTTATAGTGTAACGTGGCGGAACCGAAGCGGTAGCTAGTCAGCAGTGTCATGTAGAGGTAGTTGTTTTAAGAAGCTGTATGAGTGAGCTTGACTATCTTACTTGAATAGTAAGCTTGTAGACTACAGAGTTATTGTGAGAATATCACAGATATGATACTTAGTATACTAAGAAGATTGTATGAGACATACAGTAACTCTTGTGTATATTTCAGTAGAAGAAAAAGATGAATCACTGACTTCTTTGATAAGAAGCCAGCATCTAGCTATTCTATTGTAACGTGGCGGAACCGAAGCGGTGGCTAGTCGGCGGCGACACATAAGGGTAGTTGTTTGGGAAGCTGTATGGGTGGGCTTGACTATCTTGCTTGAATAGTGAGCTCGTAGGCTACAGAGTTATTGCAAGGATATCACAGATATGGTACTTAGTATACTAAGAAGATTGTATGAGGCACACAGTAACTCTTGTGTATATTCCTGTAGAAGCAAAATGAATCGCTGGCTTCTTTGATGGGGAGCCAGCATCTAGCTATTCTATATAGACAATGGGTGGATACCCTCCTCTCATTCCACAAGTGAGGATAACTGGAGTGATACCTCAGCGGCGCCTCATTGCCAAGGAAGAGTAATCTGCTGACCTCATATAGAAGCGGGGTTCTCATATCCATCAATCAGATCTTTCTATGATATATCTGAATGATGTCATAGAGTGGTTGAAAACCGGTTTGAATGGGATGGAATCATTCGCATGGAAGCGATGAGCTGTGTGGAACCGCAATGGGGCCTTGGTGCGGCCGGGAGCATGACAATGCCCTCCTCTTTAAGGGCATAGTCCCTATGCCCTCAAGATTACTGGATTAGGAATTATCTTTGTTGTATAGCAATGGTTGCCAACTGATTGACAGTGCATGTGCTGCGCATGACACAAAGGTGAGTTTTTCTGCTGACTGTGTAGATCTTTCTTTTCCCACCTTTGTCCAAATCAAACACATGGTAAGTGGGTTCCTTATATATTGATTTGGAATGTGGAAAAACGTAGTTAACAAGTGACTTGCAGATCTCTCAACATATTCCGTCCTATGTATGGAATTTCCTGCAAAAGTGGTGTGTTTTAGGGGCAAAGCTAACAGTAGTGACAGGATTTTTTCGAAAAGATCCCCCTCCCCCATGACACTTTTTTCTCCCCCCCCCCCCCCATCTGCAATAGTGAGTGCATGGGAGTATCATCCTTGGAGGACAGTAGAGGGCTTATTCTGATGTTTTTCTAGTGGGTAAACGTCTTCGTGGTGCGGCGGCGGGCCTCCGTGGCCCCCAAAAAAAACCAGGTTGGAGGCGGAGGGGGCAGTGTCAATGAGCCGCGGGAAGACCCGTTCCCATTGCCAACCCCTCTCCTTCTCCTGCTTCTTTTGCGGCCGCGCCGGTAGTCGCCGTCCCTTGCAGTGGGGTGTCATCCCCTTCTGCCGGTTGGTTCGTTCTGTGTCCCGGTCCATCCCCCGCCCCCCCCGCCGCGTTGCAACGCTGCCCCCCCCCCCGGCCAATACAGTGGTGTATGACCCCGTGTGGTCATTTGGAGAGGAACCCAGGGAGAGCTTGGTTCCGGGGACAGTGGCTCTGAGGAGCCCAATCTGTAGTTCCCCTCCCCGCGGCACGCCTGAGCCCTGCTCAGGATGCTGCTGGGTTGGGTCTGCAGGGTCCCGCGGTTCCTTCATCTTCTCTCTGTGGGGAGGCTCTGGTGCAGCCTCTGGCTGGCACTGCTACTTGTCTGCACTGTGTCAAGCAGCTGAAGGAGAAGAGAATTTTGTGCATCTGTCTCTTCTCTCACTCTCATTGTTTCTGTTGTGTCTGCAACAATGACTCCTGCCTCTCTGTAAGTATTATCTCACAGAAAGGCATCATGTCAGTTCTGACAAGGAGTCTAGATGCCCAAGCAGTACAGGATGAGAATCTCAGAGCTTCAAGTGTTAGCAGATTCTGTCAAGGCTGAGGAGATCCCCCTTGCTCATCTGCAAAAGGAGGTGAAAGCATGGGTCTCTGAGATGAAAAAACACCTCAGGATGGCTGATCTCAAGAAGAGGTCAGCCAGCATCACTGTTGAAAGTGTCACAGAGATCAATTACTGATTGAAGAGAATCTCACTTCAACTGAAGCAGATGACTGAGATGCTTTGCAAGTTGATGAGTTGACATTTTATGCATTTCTCATGTTCTCCTGCAGCACTGCAGCACTAACTTCTCAGCAGATAAAGATATCAGTGTCAGAGACTTCAACAGTGAAGAATGAGTTTGGTGAAGATGTAATTATTGATGAGTAGATCCTGGAATTCCTTCTTTTTACTTTTTTGACAGGCTGCAGCCTCATTAGATTAGCAGTGACCTGTGAATTGATTAATATTAATCTTTTTATTGATTCTAAATATCTCTTTCTTTCCTTATTAACCACTTCAGGAATTTTACACTTGTGTAGTCTCATTAAACTTCTAAAAAACTCTTTGAGAGAAAATAGAAGAAGAGTGCTACAGAGCCTACAAGATGCCAGCTCATCACTGTGAGATCATCTCTAAAAAACTCTTTGAAAAAAACAAGAAGTCTCAAGTGATGTTTCTTGTCCAACATCTCTGATGTGTAACAGGACAGTCTCTACTAGCTATCTCATAGATTGCAATCTCTTTCTCAGCATTTTTCAAATACTCAAGCAGTTCTCATGAATTCTCTGACAATGAATAATCTTCTCATTTAACAAGGTATTGAAGCTTGCTGTAATGTATTCACTTGTTCAATATTTTCTTCACAAGATATTCAGTATCACTCTTGATCTCAATACTATTCAGCCAAGGTGACTCTGCTCTGAGATGTTGCTTATAGAGCTTTAAATAGAAAATGTGAAAAACAGAATGAATTGATTTCAATTCTGTGAATAATTTCAACTCATATGCCTGCTTACTCATCACTCTTGTTATCAGAAAAGATTCTAGTCATCACTCACTGAGCTTCTTATATGATCTCATTATCTTAATATTCTTTACTGAAAGTAGCACTTGATCCTCTATTAAGAACTTCATCAAAAGATGTTTTTAATTATAGTATTTCATCTGCTGCTTCTGAGTGTGATGAATGCTTTTTATCACCTTCTTATGAATTTTGTTCAAAAGTTTCAATCTCACTTTTACTTCTGACACTGAGAGATACTTCATTCTCTGTATCTGTCTGACATTCTGACTGTCTATTTCTCTCTTTGAAATGTTGTCCGCGACATCACTGAGTAATGAAGGATTATATTCATAACAAGCATAGAAAGAAGATATCTTTAAGATTACATTCTTTGTATTGTTATATATGAATTCAGCAGTCAGAAGATGTTTGAGCCAATCATTCTGATAATATGAATAGAACACTTAAAGATGCTGTTCTAGTGTCTGATTCTGATATTCAGTCTGACCATCAGTCTGTGGATGAAAAGTGATACTGAGGAGACATCTTATTATAAGGTGATAGTAAAAAGCTGATCAGTACTTGCTGATAAAGAGGAATTCTCAATCTATTATCAACAATTTCAGAGTACTGTGATCACAAATGATGATATCTAAAAACAGGTCAGTCAATTCAGAGGCTTTAATCTTTTTATAAGTAGAGATATATCTGATCATCTTCATGAAGCAGTCAATAATGATCAAAATTGAGTCATATTCTTTGACTCTTGTCAACTTCAGCAGGTCAACTATGAAATTCATCAATAGATTCTATCATGAGCTCTTTGAAACAGGCAGTGATATCAACTCACTGTATTGCTTATACTGCAGAATCTTTATTCTTTAACAGATATTGTAAGTCTCAACATACTCTTTGACATCTGCTCAGAGCTTGTCTCAAGTGTATTTACATTTTAGAAGCTTCTCAGTCTTCTCTAACTCAAAGTGCCCTGTATGAGAATCATTATAATGAATTCTCAATAACTTCTGACACATCACCCTGCTACAAGAAATGAAGACTGAATCATTCAGCAGTAGAAGTTCACATTCTTCTAGTTATCAGTGACTTGATTTCTTAGCAGCATCACCCTGCTCAGAGTCTGTCTCTTTCAAGTTCAAATCAGATTCTTTCTTCTTCAACTTCTGAATTCAAGCTGCAGTAGAGGTATTCCTCTTCTATAACTTATCAATGAATTTCAAAAGTAGTCAGATTGAAAGATTGTAGATCATTTCATTCTTTATCAATTCAATGATTGTAAGATATGACACAAGAAGCTCATGATCTTCAGTGTCAGTTCTCTGCAGAGACTCAGGTTCTCTTCCATCTTCTATACTGAGTCACACAGCTGCCTCTTCAGCACTGTTCTCAAGCTTTAGAGAATCTCAATCCTCTGCAGCCAGCTTCTTCTGCAGTGATGACAGAGATTCTTTTGTAGAATCCTTCTTCACATTAATGATATTATAATCAGGCCATCTAGATAATGCATCAGCAGGGTTAAGCCGACCTGAACAGTATCAGATATAGAAATCATACTCTGAAAGCAGCTTCACTCATCTGACTTGATGTTCTATCAAGCTCTTTATTGTCAAGAAGTAACACAGATTTGCATGATCAGTGAGAACTTACACTGAATACTTACTACTCTAGAGATAATGTTGCCAGATCTTAAAGAATTTGATAATTGCTAACATCTTCTGATCATGAGTATCATATCTTCTCTGCATGAGTGATAACTTCTTGAAGAAGAAGATCACTGATCTTCATTCACAGTGTCTTATAGACTCTGTGAAAAAGTCTTCTCTCACAGATAATTCATTGCCTGTTCTCTCAGAAGTGATTATTCTCTGATCCTTTCAATGTTGAAAGATCTTCAGTGTCAACTGTGAAAAGATTTCACAGATTTCATTCTCAGATATATCAGTCTCACACTGACTGAGTAAGTTGAGATTAAAGTGATTCAGCATTGTGATATCTGTAAAAGCTTGTTTCAATTCTGCAAATGCCTGCACAGTGCCTTGAGTGAGGGTAAACAGTTCTGTTTTTCTATCTTTCACACTTCTCTTTAACAGATCTGTAAGAGAGGCAGTAATTCATGAATATGCATAGATGAATCATCTGTAGAAATTTGCAAATTCTAGAAACATCTGCACCTTGCAGTATGTCTGCAGTGCTGACCAGTTCTCAATGATGAAGACCCAGCTTCTGTCCATTGAAATGTCATTCATCTCAACAATATAATCTAAGAAATCAATCTTCTGTATGTAGAACAAGCATTTTTCAGTGTTTGTATAGAGTTAATACTGTCTCAAGTGACTTAACACTTCTCAAACATGAATATCATGTTCTTTCTCTGATTTCAAGAAGATTAAAATGTTGTTCAGGTATACTATGCAGGAGATGTTAACAAGGCTCTGCAGTGCCTCATTTATATAGACCTGAAAGATGGCTGAAGCATTACAAAGATCAAAAGATAAAACAAGATATTTGAAATTGCTGTACTTGGTATGAAAAGTCATTTTTCAAACATTATCTTTGTTAACTCTGATCCTATGATAGGTATTCTGTATATCAATCTTTGAGAACATCTTTGCTTCAGATAATCAATCAATTATCTCATCAATCAACAGTAATGAATAGTAATTCTTAATCATCATCTTGTTGAGACCTCTGTAGTCTACATATAGGCATAGTCTATCATTCTTCTTGAGCATAAAGAGTATAGACGCCTCTGCTGAACTCTTTGATAAACATATCCAGTTCTTTGATTGCACTTCTTCAAGATATTTGTGCAGAACATTCAACTCCTTTATAGACAAGTTATAAAGAGGCCTGTACAGTGCTATTGCATCATCTTCAAGACAAATCTTATATCATATCTTGATATCAGGAAACTTCACTGCTTTCCTTTCTGAAAAGACATTCTTAAAATCTGTAAAGAGATATTGTGTACATTCACCTTCAATGATGAATACTGCTGCCAATCTTGCAGTGAGAGTGATGGCTTCTTCATCTGTTCTCAAGTTTCAATCACCTGCTACACAGTATATTAACTCAATCTTTTTCTCAAGATTCTTCTGATGAAACTCTTCAGGTTTCTCTATCACTGCCTCTTCATCAGTGAGGCAGTATCATCACACCTGAGTGACTCAGTCAATGAGAGGATTGTTTTCTCTCAATCACAGAAGACCTAGAATGACATCCTTATCTATGATGTTAACTGTGTGAAGAAGCAGACTGCTCTTCTTGAAGGTTTCTTCTGAGTCTGTGATCACACACTTTGCTTGAATTATGCCAAAATGATGGCATTTCATTTCATCTGTAAATTTCACATGATCTGACAGACCTATCTTCTTCCAACTCTTCATCAAAGAAAAGAAATAGAATATGAAGTTGACATCTGCTCTGAAGTCAAGTAGGCACCTCACTGATATCTTCTCATTCAGGGTATACATTGTAATTGTAACATGAACTCAGAGATATGAGAATTATCAATCCTTCATTTCTTTCTCTTCATTATCTTCCACAGATACATTTGTCAGAAGAGGAGTCAACTTTGAGAAGATGTCTTCTTGATTTCTTCCCTTCTTCAGCTTCTTACAATCACTGATATAGTGATCACCAGCTCTGCAGTTGAAACAGAGATCTTTGTCAAATCTTTTTTAACATTTCTTTACAGTGAGTGAAGAATCAGAACACTTGAAATTCTTCTTTACTTTCTCTGCACTGAAGCTGTCACAGCACTGTTTAGATTTCATCATTGATTGCTTAGAAGAAGTCTTGTTAGCCTTTTTCTCAGAGAATTGATTATTCAAATAGATCTGAGAAGCCAGGTTGACAAGCTCAGTATAATTAGTTGATGAACTCTGATATTATGATATCATTGTCTGCACCTTGTGAGTCAGCTTCATGAGATAAAGCTGCATTTTTAATTAATTCAAATCATCAGTCAGTTTCTCTCAATATTCTTCAAATCTTGCATTGAAATTGAAAGAATTCTCATTATCTTATTGATGTAATGAGTTGAATTGCTGTACTGCTGTGAAGCTGTGATTGTGATGATCTTCAATTTAATTCAGTAGAAAGTTCTTGAATTCTTCTTAAGTCATGACAGCATTGATACACTCAAGCTCTCTCTTCTTAATGGCTCAAGTAGT